TATCATATAATAAAAGTAAGTAAAGATAAAAAACTTAAGTAATAAAAAAGAAGTAACACTTACATTTAGATTATCAATGAGCATCTGATAACCAGATGTACCAAAGCTATCTGGAGATGGTAGATGAAGCAGTTTTCTAAATTGGTTCTCTGTTTCTCCACGAGCTCCATAAGCAGCCATTGCAAGAACAACAGCAGCACTTAGAGGAGACATTATAAGATTGTCTGATTTTTCTTCTGCAACACTCTGAAAATATATATTTGTATAATTTACAATCTTCTACAATCTTTATTACATATTTTACCTTAAAGAATGAAGAAGAAAATTGATTTGTGCTTTCTGAAACAGCACGAAGTGCTTGAGTGTTATCGTTTGCCTTGGCCATTGTTATTAGGATAAGGATACAGGCTGCTAACAAAAGGCTTCCTTTTACTGAAAAAATTGATTCATAAATCTTTATTATACATTATTCAAATAGATTTGAAAATCTAATGTATCTATTTTGTGTAAAATAGAAAATCTTTAAACATACAAAATTATGTAAAATGCATTGTATTAAATAACTATTTTATTTTCTGTATTATAAACAATGTTTATATCAAACAACCTTTATATTAAGATATTTAGAATTGATATGCAATAACATTTAATATATTGAAATTATACATATACTTTTTTATATATTAAAACAACTTTTAATAAAAATGTAATGAATTTAAAACTGTAAACTTTAATATATAAATGAATATATTTGAAACTATGATTTAAATATATTTTCACACAAATATTATTATTTTTTCAATCCCCTTAACCTTTCAAATGCATGTTAATATTATAACATTGTATCATTATTGCTCTATGTTAAATATTTCTTACTTAATACTTGTAACATGGTTTGAATCCTTAGTTACGAAGGACGCATACAAAATAACGCGTATATAAGTAATGTATAAACAAAGTGTAAGCAAGGTGAATACTACAATATTTATTATGCAGACCCCATAGTTTTAAAGTTTAAGGTTCAAGGTTTACTATTCGTGAACGATGAAGTCGCCGAAGGTCAACAACTACGTGAAATGATTAACGAATATCAAACTTAAGGTTTCAGTGAAACCAAATTAACAAAATTTAGAAGCTAAATCTTTCACTATGTATCTACATAGTCTAGTCTATGTATTTAGTCTTTCTCTTTCACTTAAAACAAAGTAATTATAAGTACTAGAGATAATTTAAAATTAAAAAAACATTCGTTAACAATATACATAATCTTAATATTAAATCTATTTCATATTTATATTCCAAAAAGAGAGTACAAAATTACTACGTAATCATTTTATTTACATCGTTATCACTTAATAACGTTTTTTTATACAAATTTATATTGATAAATTTGTCATTATAAATGATCATACTTTTGTTGCCCCACTGATTTCATATTCTTATATAATGCATGACTATATTTATGACAAATGTATTACAAGTGTACAAAAAGATCAAAGGAAAAATAAACACACAGTTTTACAAATTAGATAAAGTCAACCGTATGTGTATACAAACTTTTATCTCGTGAAGTAATTTTTCAATTTACTACTTCTTTTATGAAGTTCGACGAAAATATTTATGATATATGTACATTTACGTACTAATACAACTATAACTTTCATAAATCATTATTATGTGCAATTTCATTTTGATCGTAATTTTGTGTATTAACTAATTATAGATATATTAATCTTTTAATAGTGACAAATAAGTGTAATTAATATATTCCGTATCATTCAAATTAATCATTTATATTTTAAGTTATTAAATAATAGAACTACTGCAAATATCTATCTTTTAAAAACACGAATATTTTGTCATGTTATACGACTTTAACATAGAATACTAAATTTACGAAATTTCATATTTAACGTACAAAAAAAAGTATTCTATGATTATTTTGCTTACCATAAATATGTAGTTGTATAAATATTTTATTATCTAAATTGTTGCACAACATACGTACTATTTAAAACAAGCTCGATAACACTGTGCACGGTAATAATCAATGTAATCATGCCATTTATTTACTTAAAGTTTGATTTTATTTTAAAATATAACATTCGTCTTAAAACACAAAGATTAAACTGAAGATTTCAGCAAAAACATTATAAAATTTATTAATGGAAACATTCTTCATAAAGATATGTAATGTAGAACGATAAGTTAAAATATTTGGAAACGTTATTGAAATTATATTTGATTTTATTGCAATTATACGAAATATATTTTCGTTAATAGGAAGCAACATTTCCAGTATCCATCTTACGTTTCTACGTTTTAGGGATTTTTGCATAAAAAAAAGATAATGTCACGTTGTATTGAAGTTCCAGTTAATGAAAAAAGAACTAATAATTTCGAAACGATCAAGCAAGGGGACGAGAAATTCTCGGCAGATGCATGCACAGACATATGTATATACATATACATAATATATATACATAAGTACATCCATATAAAGAACTGACGTTTCTCCTGAGTCTTACCGGGGAAAACCCATTAAAACATGAACAAGTCTTGTAATAGTCTTGCCGTTTTCAACGTGATTAATGATATATGTAATCGAAAATACTTTTAAAATTAGCTAGCTTTAATACTTATCCTTTTATATGATGGATTTTTATACACGTAAGAAAAGCGAATTAAAAAAAATAGAAAGAAGCACACTTCATATTCTTCAATTTGATTCATATTCTTCAATTACGAATATTCTTCATTATTAAAATTGTTCTTGCTATATAATAGACATTAAAGAATGCCATTACACAAAACTGTTACGTTTTAGCAACAAATATTTGTTGATTAATAAATTGTTGATATTTTGATTTCGTGAAAATTATGCAATTAACAATATATTATTGCTTCCTTAATGAACACACCGTTGCAAATATTTCTATTTTAAAAAATATTTCTATTATTCATTATTTTTTAAATTGTCAATCAATAGTTAATTAACTTTTCTGCTTCGCTTTATGCTTTGAATTTAAAAAAAAAAAAAATTTTTTTGAAGACATGTTTTCAGATGTATTGGTCATTAACATTCAAACATTGCACAACAACCAATTTTCAAAGTGTACAGTATTTATTGCAAGGAGATGTAACATAAAAGTGATAAAACGTAATTTACCTTGTTACTTTTGTTGCGTATTATGACGCGATCTAATGGGAATACCCAGTTGTAGTATTTATTTCCTATAATTTATTATTCTTTACTTATCCACTACGTAATTTTTAATG